TACTATTAGTCAAATATGATATTTGCCCATATATTTGTCTATATGTTTGCCTACATGACAAATCCATTTTTTCGTCGAGTGTTCAGCGATAGGGCGATCGTGAGCGATCATATGGAAACCAGGCTTAAGAGTAGCACCAAGCGTATAGCCAAGTGCAACTCTAACTTCCGGAGTGCTTAATCAACCTCCCAAGTGCATCTAGAACTGGATATACGCACAGCTAAGCATTGGTCATTGCTTTTATAACATAGCAAAACCGTAAGAATTATTTGTTTATCAGAGAAAAATTCAAATTTTGCTCTTACGAAATCTTCATTACATAGCGCGCGCTACTTAATCATGCACTAGTTCAGCGTGCACCATCCATTTTTGGATGGTTCAGCAACTGGAATCTCTAGTGAACATGTATGATAACCATTAGGGCAAGGATCAAGCTAAACTAGTTGGGGGGTGGGTAGGGGGGACGCAGACTTGACTAATACATCCATCCAACAGCCTTGGAAGCTGCTCGAATGCTGTAGGTAATGATCGAGATCTGGCGTTTCACCTCCTGCCAGTTGCCTGTCTTGACAATGTCGAACAGCACATCACCAATTCCAGGAAATGTCGAAGAACCATACTGGTTGTGTAAGGAAGGAGCAAAGATCACGTGACGGACATCAGAGCGGCCGGGCAACCCATAAGGCCAGATGAAAGTCCGTTCTAGCAACATCACTTGATCATTCAAAGCTCTTATCTTCGCAAAGTCCTTGGACACTTTCATTTCTTTTATTTTGGATTCAAAGACGTCCGTCGCATTTTTGAAGGTATTAATTGCCTCTTCCAGATGGTCTAACGTGATGTTATGTAACTGAAGCCGAGCTCCTTCGTTCTTTTTCAGATTCTTGAATCCAGATAATAGTGTTGCTGAATAGGGGGCCAAAGTGAATGGCAAGAGGGGAGAATCCGAGGCAGCAACTAGGATACGTGCGGCAATTTGCGATACGGTCAAGTGAGACTTAAAGTAAGGATCGGTGAATGTTTTCTGCCAATAGAAAGTGTCGTGCACCGAATGGTAAACAGGGTAGCCAGAGACGTTCATCGACCTGAACACATACCTTATATCAATAGATGGGACTCCAAGGAAATGCGCAAAATGAGAATAGTCAGAACCGGAACCAAGTGACCCAAAACGCGGCATTCCGCCTTCTCCAGGAATTCGCTTCTTCCACGCCTCGTAGAGGGACACGCCCTGGTTTTGGTCAGTCGCTTTCTTCGCCTGCTCCATAATTAGACCTGTTAATAACGCATTCCCACTAGAAGAGAAGGAGTAATTGCCAGATACTGCCGAGTCCAAATTGATGTAAGTAACTGCTCTATCTCCCAGCCATTTTTGATTTTCCTCCACCCATTCCCATGATCCTATGAGCCCGTACTCTTCAGCCCCCCAGCTACAAAACATGATAGTTCTCCTTGGCCTCCAGCTTGTTTTCATCAGCTCACCAATACCACGCGACAATTCCATCATAACTGCTGTCCCACTTGAAGGATCGACTCCACCAAAAACCCATGCGTCACGATGGTTGCCTAGCAACACCACACGGTCTGGTTCTTCCCTACCATTAATGGTACCAATCACGTTATACGTTGGACGAACCACGAATTGGTTGTTTACTATCAATCTCAGGGTTACATTCCTGTCGTTAAAGCCTGGACCGAGTTTGTAAGTAATGGCAAGGCCTCCTCTCCATGCTGCTGGTGCCTCGGGTCCTATGATGATTATAACATCCAATTCAAGTCAAATTTCGAAAACTATATATATATTATCTACTAAATACCGGGAAGAATTTTTGCAGTAAAAAGGTTGAAACTCCACGCATTCTGATGGCCAAACGAAGTCGGGGACCCCTATTTTTTATTTGCTTATTTGACTTCTAGTATGATGTACTTTCATCGTGCAAAAGTTTTAAAAAATCTGACGATGGGATCTTTTGCCCATGGACGTCCTTGATAGACCTCTTCGGCTTGGGGTAATGTTTTCCCATTTCAGACCACGTGTCATTCCCTTGAGAATAAGATTAGTTGAGCTGTATCCATATTCATGTGTCTTCTCATGTGCAACCGAGCGCAAACYTTAAACAAAGAAAGGATACTCTAGGGAATGACATATGGTCCGAAATGGGAAAAGATTACGTCAGAGCCGAAGAGGTCTATTAGCTTAATTGAAGATAATAACTGCTTCTCCCCCACCCCCCGGCCCCCCTAAAAATACAACATTATTTTGTACGTTGGATGGGGGGCTGGGGCGGAGTTTCTTACCTGTCATTATGCGGAGTAGCTTAATCGCATCGCCGTATCCCATTGGTTGAGCTGGTATTCCTGGAATTCCCTTGGCTTTATTCCTTGGGATTCTGTATATACCTTCTTTGGATGGCAGATCGGGTGTCAATGGATCACCGTTTATTCCAAGTATACTACCTCTCTGGGAGCCAGTCTCCGGTAACCACCATGACTTAGGGAATGTGTTGTCGACGCCCCCGGGAGCAGAGTCAGCAGGATCAGAGAATAAAATGGCACCCTTTGCACCATAGTTTTCAGCATTTGCAACCTGTTGGAGCATATATCAGCAATGTAATGAAAGTGGTTGCGAAAAAAAAGCGGATTTATTCGTTTTCATTTCTTCTTCGTCGTACATTCTGGTCTACCTTGGGTAGGAGCATTAATACTCGTCTCACCATATTCAATGATAATAATATTTGCACGAAAGATAGACCAGAATGCAAGCTGTTCAGTTATCGTATTGTATAACTGTCCGCAATACGACGAAACAGGAGCCGAATCTTATAAAATAAAGAAGACCGCCTTTTATTATCATCCCTCGTTTTGAATATAGCTTTTTCACTCCCTAGAGAGTTATCTGACAGCCATATTGGTGAACCTAACATAAGAAACTAATGACAAAGCCTATTGCTGTCAAAGGTACACCAATATGGCTGTTCTGACGTCACGTGAAGTTCGACATTTGATCTGAGCCTTTAGTCCCTCACCTTATTACCACGAAATATCTTTCCATAACGCATTATTGCAATCTTTCCTGAGCAGTTTTGTCCCAAAGCCTCGAGCTCAACAAAGTCTTCGACTCTTCCATAATTGACGTAAACCAGGTCACCGCTGACGTCACCAGGAGGCGAATAAGCGAGAAAAGGTGATGCCACTGAAGAATCATTTTCGCTTGCTTCCTTGGTCTAAAGCATACATGTGAAAATCAATAAATGTGAAGTAGCTGGCTAGCTTATTTCGCCAGAATGCATTTCGATGCTTTCATTAATATAATAGCTCTGATAGTAGGTTATATTACTCAAAGTTTTTCATTAATGAGCAATAATGGCAAAAAGAGCCAAAAACTAGACTTTCGTATGAGTTTTGATCCCAATTTTTGTTTTGCGTTAACAATCAAAACCTTTTTTAAACAGTTAGAAACTGATGTGCAATGATAAAATGCCTGTTTGAAGCGGTATTTACAATTGTACAAAGATGTTTTGTTGCATTTGTGTTAGAATGTTGTTTGTCAGGCTTTTTTATAGAAAATATATTGGATGAAACATAAGCAAATGAAGGCCTAAACCTCATTTTCGAATAACATTTTTTCTTTGGGTTAACACGATTCCACTTTCATCGGTCATCTCCACTTCCAAACAAGTTAAACTTTCTGAATAACAAGATTTTAGCCTTGTACAACAGCCTTTCTTCAAGAAAATAGTTTTTGGCGCTCACTGCTTAAATACGAAAAAAATTCTCTCTTAATTAAATGACACCGGCACCCTAACCACCTACTTTCTCAGGGCCCTCTATATTAACAAGAACATCGTTGTTTGTGGTGTTGATCACTTTGACAGCGTTTGGCTTATCCTTACGAGGCATTGACAATAACACGTCATAGCGAACCAAGTCCACGTTAAACTCGTAAGACAGCCACTTATCCCGAATGTAGTATGCCAGTTTGTCGTTCTGCATTGTGCCTCCCATGTGAGGATGTTTGGTAAAATACCTGTTGCGGAAAGAAGAATTCGATTATAATTAGCGCTGCTTATTCAACTTATTAACATTCTATTAATAATATAGTTCATGGCTGTATTAAGTCACAAAGCCCTGACAAACGCGGTCCCAATTAAAATTTGACCAAAAATTTGACCCAATAATAGTTGAATAGAGAGATCCCCTCTACTAAATATGACTCAAAATTTTAAACCAGCGTTTTTGACAAAACATGAAAAACAGTCCCATTATTTGACGCAACATTTACTCAATGTAAATATAACGGAAAACATAACTTTTCTCGCTTCGCTTCTTTGGAATTTTGCCCTGATTACCCATAATGCACCGACTATCGTGAACCGGTCCATTGACGCAACATTTTAGCCAATAACTTTGAACCCACAATTGGGAGACCATGAATAACGGTCACAACATTCGACCCAACAAACGTACATGTTGGCTTACAGCGAAGCTACCGCGCGAGCGGAGCACCATACTTGAAGATTTTTTCCCCGGTCTTATTTTTACCTTTCAGTTTCATTCACATTCGAGAGCTCCGCTTTTAGGCAGTGCCTAAATATATATTAGTTAATGTTGAGAACTGTTGGAAACGTTTCTCGGGGCCTTCAGTAAAGCGTGTTGTTGCAATAGCGGTGCACACTTTCATCTAAGGCACCTCTGGGGTCTCAGGTTCCATTCATGACCTTGGCATATGTAATATAAGCTTACGAATTCATTTAAAAATTGTTTTAACTTCCTGTGGTTCTGGGAGTGAGTGAGAGGTCAAGTCCGTCCAGCATTTCACGAGTTACAGTAACTTTAAAATTTCAACTCTTGAAATACGTCCCGCAGGGGAACAGTAAGTAAGTTTTACACTGTAAAAAATATTCCCGAATGAATTTTTAGCTTATATTACTTTGATTTTCGATATTCTGCAAACTCACACATCTCAATGACTTGTTGTGAATCAGTCTTACTGCCGTCTTACTTACATATATGGTACCGAATTGATTATGATTACTGGCAGCGAAAGAATTTCAACGTGTTCTGAATTTTACGTGCAAATCTCAGCGTGCCCAATTTTGCGTTCAACTCGTAACTACCAAGTTCGCAGATGGAAAACAGCAGTAACATATCGTATTTACTGTAATTCTATCGATACCCTAAACAATTGAGTTTTGGATATCTGTGGGCTGACACTACCTGACACGGAAATCCATGTGCTCTTTTGCATTATGTATTCGGGGCTTGGCTTTTTTGCAATTCAAATATCACAAGTACTTAATTTAGATTTCACAGAAACCACCAAATGAAAAAGATCGATCGATATTGAAAAAAAAAAACCGGAAATGATTGATAAAGTTTTATGTGGCAGTTCCACTCAGCCGAGCGGGACTTTGATGACTGTATCACGACTAAACATTCAATAGCCGGAATGTCTTGATATTTTTGGTGACTCGTTCGACTAAAAAACATTAGTTCATAGTATCAAACCCAACTTGACTTACTTGGAGAATTCCTCGATATTTTTTGCCTGAAGTGATTCCGCAAGTCTTGTGGCGTATTCATTGTAATCTGCAGCTGCAGTGTTAGACGAACTTTCCGCTCGGTCTTTCGGAATAGAACCTTTCATGACAAAGTATCCTATTACGAAGCCAATGAAGAACACCACTACAACCAATAGAATCTTCAGTGCAAGTATGGCTCTGGTTTTCCATACGGGTCTTGGAGACGTGTGGTCTTCCCTACCTTGTAGCTCGTACCCGGTGTCTGCCATTTTGCTTTTGATTAGACTAGTCAATATTCAAACTTAGCGTTATAAACTGATGGATTTGCCCTGATGGAACAAAGTCTGCAAATGATGGCAAGAGAGTTTGCAAAAACGTTAGAAAGAATCGGACAAAACACAAAAAATCTTGCAAAAAGCCGAGAATGATGTCCAAATTAGCAAACTAGCTCAACATAGGATGGCGTCGTTTAACAAAGTGTCAACACGCACTTCATTAAGAGTATATCTTCAGCCACCAAAACGAGACTGATATTAAATCTAAGAGCAATCTAGGTTAACTCCACGAATATTTGATTGGATCTGGTGACATACTGACAAAAGACAGAAGTTGACTATCACGATAGCATAATTGCCACACAGCGAGATAGCCAAGTTTTATATTGCGACATTGAATTGACCTTTTCTTAAAATAATTGCTCTTTTGATTTTCAAGAAATGCCACCATTTAGTGTTTATGCGTACATATTTTGATCGACATTACGGCTACAAAGAAAGTTTTACAAGACGTATACATTGCGGACCCAAAATATTAGCCTGCAAAGCAGGCGTTCTTGTGGGTTTTGGGGGAACTTTGGACATTTGGAAAGAGCATGAATTGAAACCGAGCAATGAGATGCGTTCCACTCTTCGGAAAGGTCCCATTTTTCTCGCGGGCACGTAGTCGAAACAGGAACCCCAAAACCCAGATTCTTCCTCAAACCCATCACAAGAACGCCATCACAAGAACGCCATCACAAGAACGCCTGCACAAGAACGCCTGCTCTGCAGGATACCAAAATATTTTTTCTGACGGTCTTGCGCATTTTATAAATCAGACAATGTTCGGCGTACCCGTGTCTACCCTGGACAGAATCTCTTGGGCGCACGCTTCAGTGAATGATTCAGCATCGATGAATTAGTTAACAATTCAAGAGCAGTGCCCACAGTAATCAGACGGCTATGAATAGTTTTCTGTGATAAACTTTGCTGAAAGAAAACTAGATTTTTGTTTTGTTTTGTTTTTTTTTTTTTGTTTTTTTTTGCGAGACAAGCTAGAAAGTCATAGTGTATTATGTATACCAATCGAGGAATGGTCAATGCTTAGCGTGCGTATATCCAGTTTCTGGGTGCACGCGGCAGGTTTCTAAGCACCAAAAAAGCTTAAGAGTCGCACCAAGCGTACCCAAGTGCAACTCTAGCTTCTTGAGTCAGCATTTGGATATGCGCACAGCTAAGCATTGACCATTGCTTTATAACATAGCAAAACCGTAAAAAAAGATTTGTTAAACAAAAACAAAACAAAAAATAAATCAAATTTTGTTCTATAACGAAATCATCATTACATAGCGCGCGCTACTTAATCACTAGGTCAGCGCGCACCTTCCACTTCTGAATGCACGCTCGCGCACGCTAATTAACCAATCAGAGCGCGCGTTATTTCGTGGCTATGTCATAAAAGCGTTTCGCAAGTTTGTTACAAAACAAAAATAAAACAAATTTTGTTCTATAACGAAATCATCATTACATAACGCGCGCTATTTAATCACTAGGTCAGCGCACACCATCCACTTGTGAATGCACGCTCGCG